GCGCCCCCCCCCCCCCCCCACTCTGGGGCTGGTGTGGCGCGGGGTCCCAGGGAAGCGCCCGGGGCTGACCTCCCCCACAGGGCGGACGAAGGGAAGGGAAAAGCGGCGGCATCCCGCTGGGAGGAGGCGCCCGCCTGTCCCCTAGGAGGCCGGTCTCCCCGGCTCGGGAGCGATCCCTCGGAAAAACGGGCCCCGGCACTGCTCTTGCCGGAAGCAAAGCCACGCTCCAAGTCGGAGTGCGAGAGGGTGTCTGCGGGGCTCTGCCCTGTCTGGTGCGCCAGTAGCACCCTCTTCTTCTGCGGCCTTGCTGGAAAACGGACTTCAGGTAGCTAATGTGTGAGCAGCCTAGAGGGGGAGGGGGGGAATGGGCAATACCTAAAGAGAAAGACTGGATAAATGATGAGAAGATGCGGAGAGTTAAATTTAGAAGAGCCCAAATACTTGTGGGGGATTCAGACAGGCGGAGGTGAACCTTTGAACCTGAAGAAATTCGATTTGGGTACAGTCTCCCACACCAAAAAGGCATTCTGGAACAGAACTGTGTGTGTCAAAAAAGACTTTTGATGCCAAGCGTTTTAAGAGGAGTTAGCAAACGCTTGCAGAGCTTATTGCTGGTGTAGGGTCAGATGTGATTTCCAAGCATGTTCCTGTCCCTGCTGCAGAGAACTGTACGAAAAGAGGAACCACTGACCATTTCACTGAGCCTTGTACCATACTGAAACATTTGAATGTGAATTCTTGTGATTGTTGCTATCTGTATTGCATCTCAGCTGGAGAAAAATCTCTCCCTTTTAATGGCATACTGTGAACAAAAGACACTGCAAGCATTTGGGTGTCACTCCACTGGGAGGTTGAAATGAATACAAGAGTATTGCCATCACTCTAATAGGGGAAATTCAGATACAAAAAGATGAACCTTTATCGTCTCAGGCATTTTTAGCAAGGACTTACCTCCTTGGGAAATTAATTTGAAGTATGGAAAAACATGCTATTGTACAGTGCACAGACAATCCATACTGCTTTCCATGAGGAATTCTGGAGAAGCATGTGATGCAACATCCTTTGTGCAGTAGAGTCATAGGCATCTGTGGCAGCAGCTGGAACAAATCCTGAGTCCTGATTACAGTCCCTATTCTAACTCCATTAGACTTTTCCTTCCTTTTCAGATTTCCTTCCTTTCCTCTGACTTTGTCTTGAGCCTAGGTGAAGGCTAAAAACGTGTTTCAGATCAGTCAAAACACATACTACCTAATTTCCTAACCATAAGGACTGATTTGGCCAAAAAAGTTGAGGGAAATGGAAGAAAGCAGCTGACAAACAAGACTCCAGTAAATGACAGGGAAATACAGTGTTCAGTCCCTTGTTTTGGTCTTACGTGAAGAACTTCGCTCTTCTCACTTTATAGTCCTCATCCAAAAGGGTTACAGTTATGGGACACAAGCGGTCTGAGCTCTTGCAATAAGAGACAAAATTAGGTTGTTTTGTTTTGGAGGTTGTTGGATTTTGAGTTATTGAGGGTTTTTTTTGCATCTGCTAGCACCCCTGGGAAACAGATCTATAAACTGTATTCAGCACTCTGCCATCTGAAACCCCATTCCCAAGCGTACTCAGTGTATAACTGTAAGGATAGTGGAATTCGGGAAACCACAAGGATGGATGAGCTCTGTTTCCTTAGCTCCTTCTCCCCTGTAGGGATGTATTTTTTTCTTTGAGGGCTGCTTATCATCCCTTGTCTCTATGCCATCAAGTTTCTCTGAAAGGCTGGTGCAACAGATGAGAATCAGGGCAGTGAGTGTACTCTGCAGAGCTAGCTTCTTTGAAAAGCCAGGTTCTCTCCATGTGCTGGAAGGTGAATAATCCTTCTTAGGTGTTGGGAATGGGACCGTTACTTGCCTACGCCAAAATTTTGGCCATGGATCATAGCCAGAATTTGGTGTTGGGGGAAATAACTCTCAAAAAAGCTGTCAATAAAGTAAAATACTATAAAATGATGACTGGAGGAGGCTGTGATTAGACACATGTTTAGACAGATTAGCTTCAGGAGCTATGTCTCTCACTGGTGTCAGACAGCTCCTCTAGTCTCCCTTTACTTCCAGTAGACTTGGGGTGAGTGGGCATCAAGTGAGCAGGCTTGAGAGTGCCAGTCTCCTGTAGGTTGTGTTGTGTTCTTTCCAGCAACAGGGTGGGATATTGCCTTGCTTCAAGCTGCTGGAACCATCAAATGGGTCCATGCTGGAAACACAAAGTGATGTGTGATTGGCTCATAAAGAAATTATGGATTTTAAATGAGATGGTTATGAGGGCAAAGACAGGAAGAATTTCATCTAATGGATTCAGACCGAGAGAGTCAGAAAAAATAATCTGTTTTTTTTTCAGTCAGGCACTCAACCAAGGGTGATATTGCTCCTGTGTTATTTGCAGAAGGAAGAGTAGGGAGGTGCTTGGATGCACATAAGTACCATAAAATAAACTGTTGCTAAACTAGGCTGATCAGAAGAGCACCTCTGTGGTACGGATAAGGGTGGAGCTTTGCCTGTGCCTCCCTCCCATCTCCCTTTCCTCACATACAGCATGGCCCACTTAGTATATGAAAATCTCGATTGTTCTTGAGATCCCCTTTCTAAAAGCACAGTCCCAACCCCATGTAGACAGACAGCCTGCCAGGGTGCATGAATCAAGGAGTGGGCTGGTGCAGCTACTCCACACAAGTGATGAGGGATCAGTGCTGTGTTCATTTGGTCTGCTAAGCCTGGCAGAGGTTATATACTTTGGGAAATCTGGGCTCTCTTCTGTGCTCTCTCTCCAGCTTTCAGAATAGCTAAATGGAAGTCAAAATAGATCTGATTTCCTATCTTTCCTGTTATAAATAAATTCCTCTCTGCTTTCTGAAGGACTGTGAAAACTACCTAATATTTATAGCTCTTTTGAGACGTGCAGTGGATGATGCTGGGGAAGAAGAAAGTGTAAGGATCTCTCATCCTGTCAGTGTGGAATTGAGGGATGAAGACCTTATTCCTCTCCTTCTGCTTGTATTTCCCTTTTAAAATGCTATAGACCTGATGCAAAAAGAAACTGTAGCCCAGTCTGGGCTGCAGGCCCAGATCTGAGCGAGAGCACAGTGTACTTTCATCAGTTTAATTACTTGAGGTGCAGGAGGCTTTTCCACATTAACTAGTCCCCTGCTGAACTGATTGCCATTGTGCTGTCTCAGTGTTTTGAGGAAAAGGAGATCTGGGGGTCTGTACTAGTAAAGGGAGGAGGAACTACCCACAATCATTAGTCTGTGCTGTCAACATGCACTTAATCTGTCTGTCTCCACTCAAAAGCATGAAAGTCTCCATGCTGAAGAAATGAAACAAATAGTCAGTCTGCCCTGATTGTTACCCCTTTCGTTGTTTCTGTGTGGAAATTATTTCCTATGACTCAGTGTGTCAGCTCACAGCATCCAAACTGACTCAGCTCGTGCACTTCCAGAGATGGCACCATTCCTGTGCCATTCTCTGGAGCCTTCCCTACTCCTGCTGCAGCTGGACAAACCCAGTTTCACATCTGCTCCCACCATGGCTGTGCTGCCCCCTGCGAGTGAGGCAGCTGGTACCCTTGATGCAAGGGGCAGCACCAGCCCATGTCAAGGATAACGTGTCTCTGGTCCTTGTATGGTGGGGGAGCACAAGCGGGGTGCAACCATGTGGCAGGCCAGGACAGGGAACTGATCTGGCTGAAAACTACCCATGCTTGCTGGCTCAGCTTTCAGCTGCTCCAGGTGCCTGACCTGGCTCACCAGTCACTTGTACAAACACAGGACAGAAGAAGGAGGTATATGGAAATGAGTGGCCACAGAAATACATGTGAAGGGTGCACTAAGCAGTACCAGTGGTTATGAAACCATGTCCAGCAGAGGCAGCTGTGCAGAGCAGAGCGGAAGAACTGGCTCTGAATCCCTTTTTCATAGCTGTGGATAGGCCAGTGCTGGGGGAAGTCTGAGGAGGAACTGTTAAAATGTTAAAAGCCAAACAACTGAGAAAAAATGCAGT